CGAGTTCTTCAACATATTCAACACCGTCCCATAACAATTGCTGAATTCTATCTCAAGCAACGATTTTGTGCAATTCTCATTAATGTAGCCAACAATTTCTCTACCCTTCGCTTCATTCATGTAATCAAAAATGATGTGGATGGAGCGTATGAAGTCTCCAAATGTTTTCACAACATTCCGTATACTTTCGTAGTGTTTCATCTTAACAATGAACGGTTTTGACTCATCGATGCCACTTTCTTCGCTCGTTGTGAACGGCCCTTCGACAACAAATGTTACATTTTCGTATTTTCGCGTAAATGTTCTACGTGCTTCAGCTAAACATGTCACACTTTTTGTGGATTCTCTCATCAACGCGACCAAGTTTAGGTTGTCAAGTGACCCAGATGAACAGTCCTTTTGAAGAAAGGAGAATTTTTCTTTTAGATCATTTTTCAAATAAGTCAAATTTCTCGATTTCATACTGTAGATTCTCACCTCATCACATTTACCGGTACCAAGAAAATACCACAAAAACAGTAACACACACAAAATATTCCGCTTCATTTCACGTCAATCATTGCAAACTATCGAATCAAAACTATCGACTAATTGACCTTATGCAATGACATTTTTTCTGGAGTAGTTTTTGTTTGTATTCGAAACGTGTAAGTTCTTGATATTGCAGTTAATTTTTTTTACCGTAAGAGTCCCATTATTTACATCATTGATGTATTGGAAGTTGATAAATATGTTCGGAAAAAGCAATAAATATGAATGGATATAAGAAGAAATCAAACGTAGCTTCATGTATTGAGAATATTGTTTTGTAACAGTTGATCGAACGTGATTCAATTCAGTCATGTTCACTCGTCATATGTGACAAACGATACTTATGTTTGTTTTCCAACCGACTTATCGCTCAGTTCATTCATGCTTATCGTATCGAAGTGCAACGCATTTGATATCAAATGGAAACATTGAAACTGCCGTATTCAAAGTAATCTCTATATGGATAACTGTCCGTTCAAGTGCCAATTCAAACGATAACTTCAGGTAAAGTTGGTTTTAATCAGATCGAAAAAGTAAGCGAAATAAACTGTGAAAACATTTGAAATCAAAATTGAGTTCCTTTCAGACACGTAAAGCGAATGATGATGTTAAATTCTCAGATGAATTGACTCACAGAAGGATTTTTTTTACTTTTCCGCAAACTTTGTTTGTATGGAAAAGTATTGGTTTTACTAGCCAAAATTTCATGACATCTCCTCTTTCGGACCACTATAACGTCACGCCAAACTTCAAAAAGCACGTATCTGTACACTAGGCAATGTAGATGGGATGAAATCCTATCGATCAAGACCTATCTACCTCCAAAAACATGTTGTTTACTATGAAATATGTGTAAAATAGCGATGTGCGTATGGCGTCGTTCGCGTCCGAGTTTTTTGTCCGCCGATTATCTCAAAAAGTTGACAAGATAATTGAGATCTGTAAAAGCCAAAAGTTTTGGCATGTTGAGACAAAGCTTTGGATTGATTTTGAGCCATATCCGACGTGACCTTGGGGTACCTCTCCTAAGAAAAACCCTCAAAAATGGTACATTTGTACGGAAAGTACCCGAAAAAAGCATTTTTCAGGGTTTCGATCAAGGCAAACTGCCATTTTTTTGCAAAAATAATGGGAGTCTGTGAACAACCGAACACCTACTTGCCCATAAATTTGGTCCAAAATCGACATTTCTTGAAATTTTCCTCGAAAAATAGACTTTTGTATAAAAAATCACTCAGAAAGCCATTTTTTAGGGTTTTGGTCACAGAAAACTGATACTTTTTTACAAAAATAATGGGAGCCTTCAAACAACCGAACACCTACTTGCCCATAAATTTGGTCCGAAATCAACATTTCTTGAAATTTTGTTCGAAAATGACACTTTTGTATGGAAAATGGTCGAAATAGTTATATTTTAAGGTCAAAAATGCTATGAAAAAAGGGTCCATTGAAATTTTGGTTAAACATTAAGCGGGAGGTAAACTTAATTGCTGCGGAACGGAAAAGTTTGGATTACGTATGTAATTCGTTTTATTTGTTATTTCATTGATTTTTACAACATTTTTATTTAAAAAAAAAATCAAAATCCCATTTTCCAAACGAATGTGTTCAAGATAAAACTGCACGTCAAAATGAGTACCGAAGTGACTACATGTTCAGCTCCGCTAGTCTGCAAACTTGAAAAGGTTTGAAATTCAAATATTTCTGTCGTTATTTATCAAAAAACGATTAGAACAATCTCAACTTTGACATTGTCAAAGTCGAATATTTCTTATATGTTATACGAATCCGCGCGAATCAGGGCAAAGATGCACAAGTAAGCACGATACAGTATGGAGATTCGAATCATTTCAGATAATCCACAGACTCGTGGACTCGCGAAACTCCATATAAAATTCCTATACATTTTTCACTGACTCGCGAATCTCTCGGATGACACATAAAATGCTAGTATTCTTACCGAAAGAATGAAAGTGTAGTGTCAAGTGAACCTAGAAAGAAAATTTATGATAGAAAATAGTTGTAGAAAAATAATAAAAGTACGGTAGAGATTTTGGTGGTGACATATACCGTATTAGCTCGCGCTAAGGACAGCTAGTACGTGAATTAGGTATGGAAGCGGTTAGTGCGAGAGAGACAATATTTGACACCGCCAATATTTTGCAAAAATCTCAGTTATTCTTCCCCATTTACCTCCTTCTACCGTCCAATCGTGTGCCAGTTTATCTTCAAATGTTTTTCGATCTGCTACATTAATCGAAGGGCCACGAAACTCTAATAAGAGCAACATTTTACTCTTTTCAATGAATTTCACAATTGCATCAACTGATAAGTCTGTTTATTCAGTCAATTGCATCAACTGTTTGGTTGACTTTCGGGAATGGCAATAAGTTGCTGGTCTGTCAAAGTGCCGAATGAAAGTTCGGAAGTGTAAATGGTTTTGTTCCGTTGATGTTTGAAGAACGTGATCCATGCATCGGTAAAATCACCTTGTGTGGAACCTCCACCGGGTGATCGGTATCGATATCGTAGCCTAATAACCAATAATAATCCAGTGAATTTCTCTTATTAACATTCTTCTTTCTTAAGCTTGATTTGCTGTTTTGGCGATCGGTTCAGTCGAGAGTAAGTAAATTCACACGTAAACTTTTTGGCAATTGTATTCCAGCAAATGTGTCTTCTGATTCAATCGAATTACCGTTTCCAAATTCTTATAAATTTCCAATTCAACTGTAACTAATTAAACAACAACACAATCAAATCAATCGTATACCTACGGGGTTTCGTGATCGAAATACTAAATTATTTATTTCTCAATGCGCTTAATGTATAAATAAAGCTTAAAATTCTAGAAATAATTAACATCCCTTCATCGGAGGCTTCGGCTAGAATGTCACCGTATGAAATTGGTTGCGTGTTTCAAGTGAAAACGAGTCGTCATAAATTTCGTAAATTTAATCTACAAAAATTACATCAATTTCGTTGTCGCTTTCTAAATCTATAAGAGGTGCAACCCGCTGCGATGGTTTCGTTTGATCTGATGTGTTTGCATCGCTTGAAATAGGCAATCGTATGTCTCGTCGATCATTCGATGTTCTCCGTTTCTTTTCCATCATCTCGACTTCTGTACAAAATGTACTTGGTAAAGTTCTCTTCAAACTACTCTCATTCGCATCGTCTTGTGCTGCCTCATCAACATCTGCATCGGTTCGTTCAATGTCAACATTTGTCAGCTGTGAATTGATTTGAACCAGCGAACGGTTTCTTTGACGCTCAATCTCCGCATCCTCAGGCGATAGCGTTGACATCACCAAATTCAATACGAATGTACCGTTCATGTTTTATTACAAACACCATTGGACTAGAAATGAAGAGGGTGTTTAAAATGCAACGAATTGTAACGATTTGTTTGGTTCACTTACCTGCTGGCCGTATCAAAGTTCGCTGAGATTCTGGTATTTGTTGACTTGGCAAAATCCAAAATGGCCCTAAGTTCCCGCATACAAAATGTGATTGTTGTACTTTCGCCGATTTTAAAGGTGTCAAACTCGTCGGATCTGGAAATTTGAATGAGTGTTCATGTTACTTTTCATTGAAAATGGAGACAATACGGTAATATTCGAGTTGAGACGGTTTTAAATAGAAAATACCAATATATTCATTGCCTTACTTCAATGTGATTTGGGAGCGTACAAATCGATTTTCCACTTGTGTACCGTCTTCGTAATTTTGAATGACAATATTTTCTTCATTCGCCTTAATCGACAGTTCCTCCTCGTTTGCTTTGAAACTCGACACAATATTGCTGAAAATCTTGTGACTGCCACCGAGAACGTTCAGCGATCGATCGGTGACGTAGGCGGCCTGGATTGTTGTTTCATTTTCTAAAACCGAGATGTGATGTGTTCGAATCATTTCTAAACGACACTTGAACTGTACAGTCATTTTGCAGGATTTTGCATCTAGTGTTATTGTGCACGACTCCACCTGAGAGAAAAATTAAAGCAAACAAACCATTACCATTACTTCGTTGACAAAAGAGCACAAAGGGAAAAGTGGCGTGAAAATAATTGTTTCATATTGCGAAAAACACCAAGACATGACTTCATGGATAATTTGCACTGATTTTCCTCGACATTCTTTGATTTCACCATAAAACTGGAGAAAAAATCCACGTGTCTAGACCCGCTTCGAGTGAGTTTGTGTTGATCAAATTTAGCGGATTTTCACAATTGTAATGATTTCAATGGTCACATTTGTTTTTCAGATTGCTTTTCGATTAGCAAAAAGTGGAAAGCATGTATTGTATGTTGCTGCAACGCCACCCGAATTGATGCCAATTGAAGATGAATGCGACGATCACCAAATGTACCGAGACATTCTGAAGAATATCATTTTTAGTTACTCATCAAATGCGAATGATCTGATCAAGTATTTTATGGGTTATGAGCATGAGTTGCAGCCAAGACCTGAAGTGTTGATTGTCGACTTTTTGCATACATTTTTCGACAATGTATCGTCTCTGGACACAGATCACCAACTACAACGGTATTTCATCGAGTGTCACATGTTGATAACTGCCGGTGCTATCAGTGCTGTTGATATGTTATCTAATGATGGTATTACTCAATTCATCAGCATCATTTCTATCGATCCTGACTATCATCCCATTTACAAACGATTCATACAAACATACATCGATTTATATTATTACAAAGAAGGCTGTATTTCATCATCTAATGATTTATTAAATCGTTTCTCTTAGAACAAAATAGCAACAATTGTGTACCGTCAATTCGATCAGGAAAATTAATAGATTTGAAGATAAAAAAAAAGCATCCCTCTGAGTGCAATCTTCCAACTGTTTACATAAATTTGGACCAAACCGACTATTGCGTGAGACCACTATACCAAATTAACTTGAATGATTTGCCGTGCTCCTAGATGCACAATTCCATAAGGACCTCATTTGCAACTGCGCGGGTCACAAAGAGATAATGAAAGACGAAGAAAAAAAACGTTAATTGAGCAAATATATTTTGAAACTGGATCTATATCTTCCATTCAACGCTTTGCCGCATTTAAACTTGACGACATTCATTGAACATTTCAAATAATTCTTCTTTTTATTTCAAAATATTAAAAGTAAAAATTAATCATGTTTTCAATTTTAACCGAATTTAGATGGAATGAAAAACATATTTGTGTTTATTTCGATTATAATCGAGAGCAAACTTGGATTTTTTTTTTTTTGAAAAATATTCAATGGCAAAAACAGCGAGAAACGATTAAATGACCAGTTAAAAAATGTTGGTCAAATGTCGTTCAATGTTGGTCGACGAATGAATAGTTTTGGCATTGAACGCGCTCTGTTTGTGTGTTGTACGGACAAAACGTCACACGATGATGCTTAATATTGTGTTATTGCGTTGTTGTGTTCTACACTGAAAACATTCTATTGCGTTTCACAACAAAAATATCGATTTTCTTTATTGAATACCATTGAAAATTTGCGGAAATTAAAGTAAAAGTATCGAAAAGCAGAAGATAAAAATTCGAATAGTTAGAATCATCATCCGAATTAGGTTAGTTTCATTGGAAAATTAGTAAATTTCTCTGTGATCGCGAATGCATCGATCTGGAGTCTTCTTATCAATTCGAAACAACAGTAAGTACCAACTAGAATTGAGTTGAATCGAAGGAATTTGGTGCACCAAAACCTTTAACTTTTGTCATTGAATATAAAATTTTCATGAAATAATCAAAAGTTATCGACTGAATACAGCCAAATTTGTTCTATTTCATAAGAACTGACCAAATTTTCTAATCTTTTTCCGATTCGTATTCCAAATCAGTTGTCTAAACCAACTCAAAATGGGAAACATCATTGAATCGACAACAGTATCCAAAGTGGTTGATCCGGATAAAGCTGTTCCAGATGTTGCGACTGATCCGTCTGTTCCGTCTGCCAAATGTGAAAATGTGGACGTACATCGTATGAGCTTTGCCGAATTGGTGGATCAAGTCAGCAGTAATAAAGATCTCATCGACGAATTTGGTTTGGAATTTTGCCGTTTGTCTCACCAAAGTATCAAAATCTACGGTCGTCGTTGTGTTGAAGGTAGCTTTCTCTTCACACACACAAAATAAAGCCAGGTTGTATGGAGATTTACGAACGTGACTTATGCTTCAAAGTGGTGCAAAATTTTGGTTGTTTCATCACAAAAATCGTGATTGATTTCGAGGGCTTGAAATCCGTTGACAAATTCAACCAGTACATACAAAACGAAGTCAATGATTTCTGCGCAAAATCGTTGATTGAACTCGAATTGCACAACTGTCGCCAGGCATCGTTCGATGAATTGACGCATCCATTTCCGGACGTTCAAAGGGTTTGCTTCAAAAATTGTCATCTCGAGTGCACTGCTGATGACTTGAAACGACTATTTCCAGTGGTAAATCGTTTGGAAGTATTGGGATGTACCATGGCATATACGGGTTGCATCGAACAAAGCTTTGTCAATTTACAACACTTGTCGGTGCAGCTAACCAAAGGCGGATTGTCCAAAGAAACCATTTTGGCGGCGTTTTGTTTCAACCAACAATTGAGCAGCCTTCATTTGGTGATACACGTCGATTTAACGCTTCTTCATTCGATCAGCGAAGTGACACCATTGCTTCAATGCCTTCATTTGCACATTTTGTCATACAATTTCAACGATGGCAAACAAACCCACTTTGGCAACGTCGAAAAACTAATGATCACTTTGGATGGAGGTCCATTCATCAATCTACCGATTTGGTTCGATCACTTGACGGAGCTGGAAGTGACGGTTAACGACGGACTTCACCAGAGATTCAGTGAATTCATCAGTCGGAACGAAAAATTGATCAAATTGACCATCGTCGCTCCAAGCTGGAATCAAATCGAACTCTACGATAATGGCATGGCAATTCTGGCGGAAAAATTAACGTATTTGACCGACTTCACACTTCAACGATGCACCATTTCACTTGTGGCCGCCGTCAATTTCATGCGAAAGGCCAAAATGCTGCGCGATTTCCGATTTTCGGTCACGAATAAATTGGAAAGCAAACAATTGCTATTGTTGCAAATTGAAAACACCTGGAAATTAACCAATGACAAGAATTTGTATCAATGCGAACGACGATAGACTGATTTTGTTAATGTTTGAATAAACAGACTCAATCTTCATCACGAACTTTTTTTTCAAAGAATAATTAATGTCTAATTTTTTCTAATTAGATTTTCGCACTTGAATAAAGAAGAATTTGCTTAAAGAAGAAAGAATAGAAAATATCAAGCTTTTGACTTAATGCTATTGATCAATAGTATATATGAACCGAATCATGCCGAAAGAAAATTTGTTTTTCGTTAGAACAAGAACCAAGTGTCACTTTCCCACATTTTCTAATAAAGTTAATCAGAATTTGTTCATTGAATTTCTTATTCACACAATTTTTTCTACTTGAAATTTTCATTTTTCCAAGAAACCGCCAGATTTTCAACACCTTCAATTAGACAAGGTCGAAGCGCCACCTTCGGATCAAATGTCAAACTCAGGCCGCGCTAGCGTCCTATCTAAATACATTATAATGAATAAGTACAAACTAATACATATGCATTTCTACTATGAATACGTTTCATGCTATGTGTTTTAATTTCATTTAATTTTGGAAATTGAAAAAAAAAACTTCTCGACAAAATATATTTTAAAACATCATTGCAATAAAAAAAAACTTCCAAGTAAGAATGAATATATTGATATTGAGTAAGAAAATTCGGTGAAATCGGTGAAATACTTGAATCAAACATAAACGTTTGAAAAACGTACGACGCGCGCCAAAGCATAAGTGATGTCAAAGTGTGTACAAAGAGTGAAGCAATAGTGCGTTTAATGCTATGTGCTATAGTGTCTCTGTTGATGTTGATCGCTGACGTTTATAGTGGTAGGTCAAACTATTCATCATTTTGACATTATTGGTTGACTTCAACCTCATTGTATGAAAACGTATCCAAGTGTAGTATCAGTAGCATCGGAATATTGTGCAAAAAAATTTTGGTGATAAAAAAAGTTCTTTCTTCTGTTTCCAATCGTGGAGTTTGTTTGATTGGAGCTATTCTTTGGCCCATTTTCATTGGGCTTTTCAATTTTCACGATTCATTTAAATAAAAACAATAATTTCGACTACATCAAAACCAATATTCTGGGCGGAACCTGTTAACCATAACCTCAAATGTGTGCAAAAAACAACTTTGTATGAAATTAAAAAGGTAATTCTTCTTAAATTCCATTTGTCTTACCTATCAAGCTTTCTAGTGGCTTTTTTCTCCATTTTCAATGGAAAAATTCTTTCTAAATGTCAAAATTGACTTCATGTTCACTAATTTTGGATTGTTCCATTGTGATTTATAGCATTTCTGGGCACAATGGATAATATTGACTGGGATGGTGAGGCTCAGCCCAAACGAGTGGTTCTGACCAATGCAATCGGTGATGATGGGGAGACGTTTGATATAAAAGAAGAACCAGTGGAGGTAAGACAGGAGCCCATTATCAAAGGGGAAGCAGAAGATCATGCCGAAGTACCTATGGTGTCGATGCCAAGACCAAGCTACAGTGAATCAGCAGTTGAACTCGGTGTCGATAGAGCAAACAACGAGCCAAGCATCGAGGATTTGTATGCAACGCATGTGAAAGTGGAGCTCAAAATTGAAGCTGAATCCAACAGCAAGATTGAATCGAAGCCAAAAGAGAGCAAGCAATCAGATGGGAACGAAACATCAAAGGGAAACACAGTGAAGAAAGGTAATGCAGCGGCGCCAGTGTCATCGATTGGAATGTCAAAGATAATGGGCATTGAATTGAAAGGCAGAGCCAAAGCGGTGATCAGTGCTGCAAATAGAAAGCAGTCTGCGGCAA